CACTGAACTCTATACATCCCTCTACTTCTGTCTCTCTTCCTCTACCTCTCTCTATCTCCCTCTCTCACTCTTCACCTTTCTCTCTTTTTTCTTTCTTTCCTTTTTTCTTTTTTCCATTTCTTGCTTTTTGTTTTTCTTTCTGTTTTTTTTCCTTTCTGTCTTTTTTATTTTCTTTATTCACTTTTTCTCTCTTTCTTTATTTTTTCCATTCTATATTTGTTTCTTCTTTCTTCTTTTCTTTTTTCCCTTTCTTCTGTCTTTCTATCTTTCTTTATATCTTTTTTTCTTGCATTCTTACTTTCTTCTTTGCTTCCTGTATTTCTTTCTTTCTTTCTTTCTTTCGTTCTTTCTTTTTCTCTCCATCACTCACTCCTTTGTTCTTTTTCTCTCTCCACAGCTGCAGTGCTGGTTCTAAACTCTCTCGTTCTGTTGTTCTTCTTCTTTTTCCAACAAGATCAAAGCTGCAGTGCTGGTTCTAGACACAAGCATTTTTTTCTTCTTCTTTCCTTCTCTCTCTCTCTCTCTCTCTCTCTCTCACACACACACACAAACACACACATTTCCCTCCTCATTTACTCTGCTCCTCTTTTTTCCTCTACTCTCCTTTTGTCTTCCTCTCCATCTCTTTTCTTTCTTCTCCTCTTTCCCTTTACTTGTGTCTCTAGCTCTTCATCTTGTCTTTCTCCTGCTCCTTTACTCTCCTTTCTTTTTCTCGTTCTTTCCCTCCTGTTTTACTCATCTTCTTTTCTTTTCCTCTTCCTCCTCTTCGTTTTCTCTCCTTGTTTCCCTCCTCTCCTCTTTTCCGTTACCTTTCTCTTCTTTTCTTTTTCTTCTCCCCTTTCTCTTTTCTCTCCTGTTCCTAAATGCTTTCTTTTCTTCTCCTTCTCTTTTTTCCTCCCCTTTTTTTCCTCTTTCCTCCTCTGTGCTGTGAGAGTTCTCTCTCATAAAAAGGCACTAAATTCTCAATTCATTTCAGACGCTGTCCTGACTCCAGGTGATTTGTTTATCAGTTTATTACTTGAAAAGGTACATATGTTCCTTTTGCCTGGAAACGTGACTGCAGTGTGCGTCTAAAACTCATTTAAGGTGCACATTTGGACATTAAGGCTATTACTGTACATTAAAGGGTGCATTCAGATAGTGTGTATCTTGCAGTGCCTTTTATTCTGACAAATCTCTCCACTTAGAGAGTCTGATTTTGTGCTAAAAGTGTTTTCCTATGGAACAAATATAATTTTCTTCTACATTTTCTAAAGTAACCTAGTAAAGTTTACTGATGGTTTAAAGGTTAGTGCATCCAAATACTTTTGAGGACCATTGTATGTGTGTGGCACTTGAGACGAACATTCAAAAGTGCCTTTCAACACTGCAAAAAATGGTGTCTTTTCAAGTGAAATGATCTTAAATCTAGTTGATATATCTAATATTTCCCATTCTGAGATGTTTGTTCTCTTATAAGATTATTTAGTTTACTTCTAGACATTTTCACTTGTTTTAAGTCATTTTATCAAGTAAAATTATCTCACTCCACTGGCAGATAATTTTACTCGTTTCAAGCTCATTTCTTAAAACAAGCACAATGATCTGGCAATGTAGTGAGATAATTTTACTAAATAAAATTACTCAAAACGTGTTAAAATTGTCTAGAAATAAAATAAATAATCTTAAATTGATCTCAAAACAATCTCAACAGGAGAAATATCAGATTTATTGACTATATTTGAGATTATTTTACTTGACAAGACACCATTTTTTGCAATGAAAAAAGAGCAATTGAAAATATATATATTTGTAAGAGGATAAGATAGAATAACAGTAAGAATAGTAACTAATAAAAGAAGTAAAACCAGTGAACAGGGACGGAAATGGAAATAAATGAAATAAAAATGCTTTTGAATATAAATGATGAATGGTTTGAGTGAGCGGTTTGGCTGTGGTTACTGAGGCTGAGGGTTAGATGTGTGTGATGATGCCAGAGTGGTGATAAAACAGCGTGATTACAGAAGCTCCAGCATCATCAGCCCTGCGTCGCTGTTTCTTCCCATTTTCCTGATCCGATCTTTTATTTCTCCCTTTACAGCAGCAAACGCACATCAGCAGAGCATCAGCACTGACTGAGCCATATGTGAGTGATCAGATCAACTGGACACGGACAGCAGTGAGCAGTGCGACAGGCCAAACGTGCAGCCGACAGCAGCTCTTCATTAGCACAGAATAATACGCCAAGATACGCCATTAAATTAAACTGATAAACACATATGAATGAATCTCTCTCTTTCTCTCTCTCTCTCTGTGTGTATCTTATAAGAATGTAATAAATTCCAGCTTTAATGCACTGTTTTGTCCCAATCTCTCTCTTTCTTGCTCTCTCTCACACACACATTCCGTACTAATACACCGTACATACACTCACAGTCCCGCTCTCCAGTTCTGTTACATACAGAAACATACAGAGGCTGATAAAAGAAGAGAATAACGGCATCACACACAGTAACTCAGCTGGACCAAAACTGCAGCGCAGCATCCATGCATTTATCACTGCTGTAGGAACAAAATCTCGTATATCCAAAATGATAAATTTACATGAGAAGGACAAAACCTACTTGACTTTTAATGTAAGTCAATGGATCCAGACTTTTTCCGTGTAAATTTGGACCTTTTTTGGTCTGTTTATCATGAAATTTACACACAATGTAAAGGGTGGCAGGCATTTTCAAACTATGGCAAAAATGAGGTTTTGTTCCGACAGTAGCGATATATAAAAGAAAGAAAGAAAGAAAGAAAGAAAGAAAAGAAAAAGGTAAAGGATTGATTGTATTTGTAGATTTGTAAAAGGAACCTCGTATCTCCAAAATGGTAACTTTACAGGAGAAGGAAAAAGCCTAGCTTACTTTTAATGTAAGTCTATGGAACCAGACTTTTTCCAAGTATGTTTTTGCCGTTTCTTTTAGTCCGTTCATCATGAAACTTACAAATAATATACAGAGCAAGGCATTTTCAAATGATGTGAAAAATTGAAAACTGACTAAAATGGAGATACAAGGTTTAGTTTCGACAGCAGTGATATATAAGGGCCCTAGTCATCCAGCTGAGAACCAAAACCAGGCCCTTCTTGCTGTGAGGTGACGTATATATATATATATATATATATATATATATACATATATATATATATATATATATATATATGACAAGAGGAGTAAAGTGACTGTAAAGTGGATATGATATTTGAAATAAACAGCTGTGAATCTCATCTGTACAATAAACAACAGTGACTGAACAGGCAGCTTTTAACAATCCTCTGTATGTTCCTCACTGATGTTCCTCACTGATGTTCCTCACTGATGTTCCTCACTGATGTTCCTCTGTTCCCCTTTCAGCCTTAATTAGACTGAACTCACTCAGATTCAATCAGACAGACAGCTGAGCTCTTACAGCCCACTGAGACCCTCAGACTCACCACCACCACCTCTCTACTGCCACCCTGAGGACACAGAGAGCACAACACCAAACACTCAACTCTCTCCCTCACGCTACCTCCCGCTCTTTATCTCTCTCTCTACTTCCCTCTCTCTCTATACCTCCCTCTCTCTACCATTCTCTCTACCTCTCCCTCTCTTTCCCCATCCCTACTTTCTCCCTTTCTTTCTCTCTCTCCATCTTCCTATTTCACACCCTCTCTCTCTCTTGCCCTTCTTTTTCATTCCTTTTTTCTATTTCAAGCAGAACCAAAGCTACAAAATACAAACTTTTTTCTTTTTCTTTCTTTCTTTCTTTCTTTTTTTCTTTCTTTCTTTTTCATTTCTTTCTTTATTTCTTCCATTCTATATTTCTGTTTCTTCTTTTATTCTTTTTTCCTTTCCTTCTGTCTTTCTTTCTCCTTTTCTTTTTCTTACTTTCTTTTTTCTTGCATTCTTACTTTCTTCTTTGCTTCCTGTATTTCTTTCATTCTTTCTGTCTTTCTTTATCATTCATATCATTCATTTATTCTTTTTCTCTCACCACAGCTGCAGTGCTGGTTCTAGACAAACATTATATCCATGTTTTCTTACTTTCTTCATTCCCTCTCTCTCTCTCTCTCTCTCTCTCTCTCTCTCTCTCTCTCTCTCTCTCTCTCTCTCTCTCTCTCCCCCGTGTCCGTGTACCGAGTTGCTCTGTGTCAGTGTGGCTGTTCTGCGGTTGTTGTTCTGTTGTTCTCCAGAGAGAATTACAGATGAAGATCAGAGGAGAGCTCAGTGTGTAATGAGCCGTGTCTACAACACACACACACACAAACACACACACACACACACTCACACACACACACACTGGAACAGCTGAGTCTCTGATCACACACACCTGAGACCTCTCCAACACACACACAGCGTCCATCCAGCCAGCGCACTGAGAGTGGAGTGAGATGGAGAGAAATGGAGAGAGAGGTGAACAAATGGAGAGGTGGAGAGGTGGACAGATGGATAGATGGACAAATGGAGAGATGGAGAGGTGGAGAGATGGAGAGGTGGAGAGGTGGAGAGAGAGAGAGGTGGAGAGGTGAAAAGACAGAGAGATGGAGAGAGAGAGAGAGAGAGAGGTGGAGAGGTGGAGAGAGAGAAATGGAGAGATGAGGAGAGAGAGAGGTGGAGAGATGGAGTGATGGAGAGAGAGATGGACAGATGGACAGATGGAGAGATGGAGAGGTGGAGAGATGGAGAGATGGAGAGAGAGAGAGAGAGAGAGAGAGAGAGGTGGAGAGGTGAAGAGGTGGAGAGATGTGCAGATGGATAGTTGGAGAGATGGAGAGATGGAGAGAGAGAGAGAGGTGGAGAGGTGGAGAGATAAAGAGATGGGTAGATGGAGAGGTGGAGAGATAAAGAGATGGGTAGATGGAGAGGTGGAGAGGTGGAGATATGGACAGATGGAGATGGAGACGTGGAGAGATGGAGAGACGGAGGGAGATAGAGATGGAGAGATGGAGAGAGAGAGATGGAGAGGTGGAGAGGTGTAGAGGTGCTGCTTAC